GAAAGAAAATAATAATAATAATTATATATATTTATTATTTTCCCACCCTCTCCTTCCCCTCGGTTAAATTCCACCCCCTTCCCGAGTGCCTGAGCTGACTCCTCGCGCACTGAAGTAGCTCTGCCTGCCTGCGCTTCCCATGCATCGTTTCCCTTTTGCAAACAATTAAGCACAAATCAATTAAAAGGCACAAATAGGAAATAGACCGAAGGCAGTTACACACCAATCTTCTTCCAGAGTCTTTCTCTGCCTCCATTTTTTTGGAGAGTTTCATCACTTAATTGTCAACAGTTCCTGTCCTGCAAATTTGGGCCCCAAAATAGGGAGCAGGAGGGGAAAAAAAAAGAAAAAATAAAAAAGAAAGAAAAAAGCCAGGTCTGTAAAGTTTTGCAAGGAGTGCGGGGGCCGCCCCCGCCGGGCGCGGGGGGTGGGGGGGGCCCCGCCGGGCGCCGCTTATTGCGCGCGGGGAGGTGCATGGGCGTCCCGGGCGGAGGGGTCGGCAGCGCCTCTTCTCGCTGCTTAATTAACGCCCTGTTTTAATTAACGCCCTAACTCGCTAACCCTAACATGAGGCGGAGGGCTGCGCCGCGGGTCCCGGTGCCCGTGAAGACAGCGTTGATTAGAGCTCCGGGAAACAAAGCTGCGTTCGCGGGACGCGCGAGCAACAGGCAGAAATCGCAGGTGACGAAGGGGTTGTGAGTAGGAAGGAGTGTATAGAGCGGAGCTAGGGATGTAGAAAACGTACAGGTCGGAGACTGGCGAGTCTTGCATTTCTAGGACACCCATTCACAGCCAGTCCCGATGGATCCCGAGCAAACAGCGGGAGATCTGAGTGCGGCAGCTGGGGCGGACGGTGCGTTTTGAGCAGCCCGCGGGCCCCGGGGTGCTGCGCGGCTCTGAAGTGACATCCTCTGCTGTCCCACCCCGTCCCCTCAAAAAGAGGATGTCAGGGAGCATCTCAACTCACGGCCATAGGCAGCTGCTCCTCTATTTTGCAGTGTTATTAAGTATTTTGCAAAGCGTAAAACATTCCAATTCAACTTGATGGGCCTTTCTGGACATCTCTTTAGAAAGCTCCATATTTTAATGGACCCTGACATGTGGATAAAGGAAGAATTTGTCTAGTAGACAGAATACTACCTTAAGATTTAAGGTAGGAGGCTTCTCTTTCTGAATCTGCCAATAGCCATTTGAAGAGTCCCAAAAAATCATGTAATCTTTCCCAAACACCTCCCTATTTGCAGATGATTTAGCATTATTATCATGTGTTGTATAGGTTAGACATTGAAGTGTGGGCTCCAGATGGCTATTATATTGAATGTGATATTAATCCATAATCCTCAAAAGATGCCTGCATGTGATGACCTTTCAGCCAAGATTACTCAATCTTAAAATTAAATGCACGTGTGCATCTGTAGCACTGAGGACAGAGTACTTGCCTAAGATAAATGGATGTTACTAGAGGATCATCAGGCAAAAACACATAATCCATCCATTCGATAAAAGTCCCTGAAAAAGAACAGAGACATGAAAGAAAACTCATTTTTCTATTTTTTTTTCATATAAGCAATCTGAGACTATTGGTATATCAAGCAAAGCCACCGAGGACTATATTAATCACACACACCTGGAAATACTACGGCATGTTGTTAAAGTATGGGAGTAAATGCGTTTCAGAAATACCAGTTTTAATCTCCAAGTCCCTAGACATTCATTCTTAATCTAAAGACAGAAATTATTTGCATTAAACTACATCCCACCATTAAAACTAAAAAAGCCGGGTATGATATAGGGGACATGACTACCCACAGCTGCATTTGCCAGGATACACACATTTAGGAGCAATACTAAGCCACGTGCGTCGGGACTAGGTTTAGTGCCAACAGCTGAGGATTTGGGCTCGTTCCCTTCTGCCCTGCCCCGGGTTTCCAGCAGGGGCTTCTCCTGGTGCTGGTCCCCACAGGCAGCGCTTGCTGCAGCACAGCCCATTGCTGCAGCAAGTCGGGTTTCTTTCCAGCCCAAAAGAAAGGGGAAAAATACTGTGAAAAGTAGGGATGATTCTCCAGAAACTGGTTGAGATGTACTGCCACTCCTCAAAAAATAAGTCTCAGTTTGATGCCAATGTAAGTTAAATGTTTATGTTCTTATTGTGTTTCATAGTGTGTTGCATCCTGACTTTGTTTACTTAAAATTGGGATCTGTCACTTAAAATTTATACTGCAAAGTTCTCAATAAAGTAAGAATTCTAATTCTGTGCTTGGGCTATATGAAGAAATTGCTTAATTTTGCCCCCATTGAGCCTTCAGGCATATTTATTTCCCATTGGATAGGATGGACAGAAATAATCTTTTAAATCTTTTTTTTTTTTTAAAAAGTCTTAACTGTGGAAGACCTAGTAGTACATGCCTTACCTTGGGTTAAGATGGAAGGCCAGATATTTAAACACTTCATTGCTCTATGAAAGAAATGAAAAATGATTATATGATTTTCTAGACAAGATAGATAAAAATATTGAATCTCTGGAAATTCCATCAATTAAACTTTAAGATTTACCTTAGATGAGATCAGAAGAGTCAGTTGCTTTAACTTCCTCACTGCTTTGGACTCCTGACAATCCTTTTTTTACTTGTTTCTTGCAATTGCTACTCCTGGTGTTTTGTTTTTAATGCAGAACTACCAGACTTTGCGGTAACCTGATTTGGGATTTGATTGGGTGCAATAACAGGAACAAATGTAAGTGATCATTTGCATGTGAAGCTGGCAATCCGCTTTAGAAACTGCTCTGCAGAGGGTAGCAACTTTGCATGCTGAGGACTCACATTAATATAGTACTCAGAGCACCTATTCATTTCTCTTACAGAAGTACATTTATAGCAGGAAAAAAAAAATCATGAGTATCTTTGTGAGACTGTACAGATCTCTGAAGGCTCCCTGGAAAGAAACTTGGACTTCTGCCACCTGTTCCTATTGTGTTCATGCACAAATGATGGGGAGAATGGGCTGAAATTACCTGTAATTAGGGGTAATAGTGAACTGCTGCTGAAAGGGGTGGTCCCCTCCTCCTGTGTGTTCCTCCCTCCTGCATTAGGTCCAGAGTTCAGGCAGCCACAGGGTAAAACAGTTCGGTAAGTGAATCCAACAGAAGGTGAATCCATCAAGAAAAAGTATTTTTCATCGGCCAGCACATGGAGGTCTTTGCAGCCATTTGATCAGTGCAGAAGGGAGAAGATGGGGGAGATGAAGGAAGAGAGCAGGACTACACCCTCTCGGTGGCCTCCTGCAACTGCACTGGTCACAGGTAACACCAGACCAGTTTTGAAACCTCCAAGACCATTTCAGAACGGCCTTAAGTGTTTCTAAGAGTTAACTAAGCACGGCTGACTCTTCAGCTAACTCCAGAATGCTATAGAAGAGTAGTTAGGTTTGGAAATACAAGAATGCATCCTCTTTAGGTTGTATTTTAGAGCTCAGAAATGACTGGATGGAGCATAAAGGGGAAAAAATGGGTATGCTGTTAATAGTCGTAGGATTTTGGTGAAGAAAAAGAAATTGATCCCTAATAGTTGTTGTGTTGTTTTGTTTTTTACAGGAAAGAAAATGCATCTTTTAAAGCTGCAATGATGGAGCTTGTAAGTTTAGAATTAAGACTGAGTTTTGTTTGGAAATGTGGATGGGACAGGGTTGGATTTATTTACTGACTGGGTCTGATCCAGTAGGTCCCTTTCAGTACTCTTTATTTGAATGACGAACTCAAAATTAATCAGTGTGCAATTACATCTTCCAAACTTTCTGATGAACAGAAGTGGGAGAGATGGATGGAAAAACAGTGAGTTCAAAGTATTTTTACATAATTCTTGGATCACAAGGTAAGTAACCTGGATTTGCTATATGAAAAGCTTCCATTTTGACTAAACTTCTAATCTGGTTTTGACATATGATATATGCTAAAAGTAACATGACCAAGAAAGCAGTCTTTCAATTTCAGTATAGCAGGTACTTCATCTTTTTTTTTTTTTTTGTCAAGCAATTTTATTTTTAATACAATTGCTTAGAAAGACAGATGAAGTCCTTAGCTGCACATTTCTCTCAGCTTTATCTTACAGAGAACTAATTCAGATGAGCAACAGCTGTGGTAATGAGGAATTCAAATTTTATAATTATACCCTTTTCTACTTGTATAGCTCTTTAATGCTATTGAGTCTCCCTTTACAACAACCTACACCTCTGCACCAATATCACAAGTACAAGCACGTTCTCTTTTTAGATAAATCGATTTTAGGAAACAGGACAAGAACTAGGTATTATTTGTGCAGTAGTACTTGCATGTTATTTTAGTGTTCAACCGTAGTTGTGCACAGAGATGAGAAGCACCGGTGAGTAATCGTGTTGTATGCACATACAAAAACATTTTGCATCCCCTATGAACAGCAATGCAAAAGAGTTTTAAATGTACAGTTTCCACAAAAATCATGACAGAGGAACAGTCCTAAGGAATCTCTGCTTGACGTGTGTGGGGGGGAAAATTTATTGCTGTTTTCTGATTATTATTTTCTCAAGTAAAATGTGGTAATGAAATCACAATATGGTTGTTATTCATTGCTTTGCAATCTGCTGCTCGGACTTAGACTAGGGCACAAATGGGAAATGGAGAAAGCTTTCCGATGATTGGGAAGGTGTTTCTTTTTTTTTTTTTCTTTTAAGAAATAAAACACATTGAGCAAAGAGAAGAATTTTCTAATGCTATTTTATGCTGGCCTTTCACTTAAATGGATCCCATGGAGTAGTATTGTCATCCCTAAAAGAGAAGGCAATAGCAAGCATTCCATGGAGGCTCTTGCACAACAGCAGAGCTTTCACAGAAAAACTCGGTAGGTCAAACTCATTCTCTTGCAGAGGTGTTTAAATGCCCCTGCAGATAAAAACTCACCAAGAGCTGTTTTTAACATGAAGATTCAGCTTATTTCCTGACAAAGGTCATTCAGTTCTATTGCAGTAAGAAACTGTAGCTCCAGGAAATGCATCAGGAGGCTTCAAATCACTAAGAGTCTTCCTTGGATGCTTCAGCTATCCCTTTCTAAAGAATTTTGTGTAGATTAACTAAAAACTGTAACAGTAACCTATTTTACTATAGATTGCCATCAGTTTTACATTAGAATATGTATAACTAAGTGAAAAACCTTGCAAATCAGAGAAAAACATGGAGAGGAACACAAGAAACCTGTTGAGGACTTCTGTGCCATACTTCCTAAGCAAGAAAGTTTCAAAGCAACAATTAGTAGTACTTTTGATAATTTCTCATGCAAGTAGCATTGCAGTGATTCAGCT